AATCTCTCCAGCATTTCCTTGCTGCAAAGAGGAAGCACTAATACGTTGAGGTGGGAAGGTGGCTAGAGATATTCATGGTTTTTCCACTTTCATGGGGGTCCTGCACCCAACCCCTGTTAATGTGGAGAACCTACTATATATGATCCAACTTACATACAATTTTGACTTGAAGATGAATTTCCTTTTTCTCAGGAGTGGAACTTGTTTGTAACCTGGGGACTGCTTGTAAATCCATCTTTGTAAATTCATATTCTGTTTTTGTTGACATGTGTTCTGTATTTTATTCATTAATATCAGTTCTCTGAAACAATGCCAGTATGATCCATGTGTCTGTCTTGAACTTGGGCCTGACTGTGCACTGGCTTGGAAAAATCTATGCAAGACACTGCATGGATTCACAAATCTTGCTAAGTTATCCTGCAAATTAGTGTCAGTCACTTGTTCGCTGAACAACCCAGAATATGCATGACTGTCAAGGTTACTGCAAGTTGTTCTCACTTTGTTTCTCCTCCACCATGTATCCATCTCTGACATGTGTCCCAGTGCCCTTCATAGCAGAACCCATTTTGTCTTCTTCTCTTCACTCCAACTGTTATGCCTTTTCATTCTTTGCCAGGGGCTGGGGAAGTGTATTTTTTATTTCCCACTTTTTGCCTTCAAAAAGTGCAAGTAGACTTGTGCGTTCTTTTCTACCACTGAAAATTGAACTGAAAAAACACATGGGTTGTTTTGGTCAGTCCATCCCAAGCACTCAGTTCTGATAAGCTTTGTCTTGTCTGGTCAATTTTCTTGTTTGTTTCAGCCATCAAAGGGAGGACAAGGTAGGAAGCAGGATTTTTTCCTCACACTTGCCAAGTGGTCACATAGCCATTCCAGGCAGCCCATGATATAGCTGCTGGGTTAAAGTGGCACAACAACCCTTTATGATCAAGGGCAACCTTAGAAGAAGTAATGGGTCTTCTGAGTGACTTGTTCATGGAAAAATAAGCCACCCTGCAAGAATCATGCCAGGGTTGGACAGCATGACAACCCACTATGGCTGTTTACCCATGGCGGGCTATCATACTACATGAACCAGATCACTATATTTCAACATTAATTCCCCATGTTTAAAATGGGTATACTTTTCTACTTGCTCATTGCATTTCATTGCATGGATGCTTGAAATTTAGTGATAGTGACAGGCAGTACTACTTGTTGGGAAACCTGGTAAACCAAAATTTCGGGAACCGGTACCCGCTGAGAGCAAAAGAAAACATAGCAGTTAGAAATGCTAGGTGGACGTTTTGTTTCCTACCTACCCCTTGTTGAAAAATGGAAGTATTCAATCTGGATAGTTGCAGGTCTAAATAGAATTTGACGCTTTTCCAGTTTAAAGCTTTAGCAGCCTTTCATCTCATTATGTGCTGTACCATCTCCAAATCCTATCATCTGATACCTGTCAACAGTATTTGTGTAGAGGAAAAAGGGTTAAGATTGCAGGTGTACTCTTTATGTGAAGAATGCTTTTCTTAATCATTGTGTATGGAGATGGTGGTATGGAATAGTCAGTTTTTATCATTCCTACCTCCCACAACCATGCCATACTTTAGCATCTTTAGTAATGGTTCTTCAATTTTTGGTGAAATGAATCAACCAACGTGAGAAAAGGTAACAGCCTGAACATTATCTAGGGTTTCAATTTTATCTTGTTAGGACAGGATTAATATGGACCAGGCACACTTCTGATGATAAAAGTGTCTATGCTGGACAGTGTAACACAAATATAAGGCACACTTGTATCAACACAAAGTGCTACCCCTTGCTTTGTTTGGATTCTGTAATCCAATGCATTCAAAAAATAAAAATGAATCTCTTAAACAGAGAATAGAGAAAAGGACTAATAAATACAAAACTAAGCAATTTAGCTTTTATGGTTGTGGTTTTTATTTTGAAATACACATATGCACACAAATAACAACCATAGTATGGGTTTCCATTGTTTGCTTGTTAACCAAACTATAGATGATAACCTGCAAGGCGTGCATGCACACCCATATGATTGAATTTTCCCAAAGCAGCCTTGTATCTCTGCCAAATGTAATCTGGTATGAACTTTAGCTATTACCATTAAGAAGTAGCAACTCTTTTCAAAATCTTTGGGCAGTATCCAAATTGCCACTAGCATAGGTCTGACCTGCCGCTTGTTCTCTTGCTTCTTGTAGCTGGACATCGAAACCAAGGAGGGAATATGCTTCTGGTCCCAGGCTATTGTGAACACTTCTCTGATGAAGGGTCACATCCTGCTTCTATTTAAAGAGGCAGTGATCAAGTTTCTCCTGAAGAAGGCTAGTCTGGACCCAGAAGATGTTAACTATAGGGCTGTAGCCAACACTCCCTTCTTGGTTAATGTGCTTGAGCAGGTGCTGGCTGGACAGCTCCCGGCCTTCTTGGAGGAAACAGACCATCTTAGAAACATAGAAACAGAGTGAGTCAGAAGGGGCCTCACGGGCCATCTAGTCTGACCTCCGGATCCAGCCGGTTCCGCTCACGACATACCCACCTTTTGAAAAATCTTGATCCTTTTCAGTCCAGATTTAGGCCTGGGTATGGGACAGAGACTGCCTTGGTCACCCTGTGGGATGACCTTTGCTGGGAGAAAGACAGGGGGTGTATGTTTCTATTCTCCTAGACCTTTCAGTGACTTTTGATAACATTGACCATGGTATCCTCCTGAATAGACTGGCCAGATTAGGAGTAGGAGTCACTACTTTGCAGTAGTACTGCTTATACCTGGCTGGCCAATTCCAGATGGAATCTCTGAGGGATAGTACCTTGACCCCATGGCAGTTATGCCATAGTGTGCCTCAGGGTTCCATCCTATCCTCCACACTGTGTAATATCTACATGAAACCACTGGAAGAGGTCATCAGGAGGTTTGGGCTGAAGTGACACCAGTATGCTGATGACCTCTTGTTTATATTTGATCAAGGTGAGGCAGTTTTGACTCTGAACTAGTGTCTGTCTGGGTTGATGGGCTGGGTGAGGGCCAACAAATTGAAACTTAATTCAGACAAGACTGAGGTGCTATTAATAGGCAGAATCTCAGTCCAGTAGGAAGATATCTGCCCTGTCCTGGATGGGGTTGCACTCCCCCTGCAGGACAGAGTGTAGAGTTCTCGTGTACTAGACCCAGAACTCTCCCTGGAATACCAGGTGGTGTCTGTGGCCAGGAACACCGTTTATCAGCTATGGTTGATGCATCAACTGTGCCTCTATCCATATGAGCAGCTGAGCAGCATTTAACAGTGGTGATACATGCACCGGTAACCTCACGTTTAGATTACTGTAATGCGCTGCACCTGAGGTTGCCTAGTTGCTTTGCTCTAGGGCAAAGATTTTCAACCTTTCCACAGCTGGGGACCAGCAAAAATAGGGAAACCACCTTGGAGACCACTGAGGCAGAAACAAAAAGCACTCTACACATAATACAGTATTCTCTGTAATAAGTGTCCAATACCAGAAAAAGAAAATTCTCCAAAACAACCAGAAACCTAGCAACAAAAAATGCCAACAAAAGAACAAACTACCAATATCAGTATTAAAAGACACTTGCTCCTTGGGAGGAAAGCTATGGCAAATCTAGACAGCATACTAAAAAGCAGAGACAACACCCTGCCAACAAAAGTGTGTATAGTCAAGGCTATGGTTTTCCTAGTTGCAATGTATTGCTGTGAAAGCTGGACCATAAGGATGGCTGAGCGCCAAAGGATTGAGGCCTTTGAATTGTGGTGCTGGTGGAGACTCCTGCGAGTCACTTGGACTGCAAGGCGTTCCAACTGGTCAGTTCTAGAGGAGATCAACCCTGACTGCTCTTTAGAAGGCCAGATCCTGAAGATGAAACTCAAATACTTAGGCCACCTAATGAGAAGGAAGGACTCCCTGGAGAAGAGCCTAATGCTGGGAACAATAGGTGGCAAAAGAAGAAGGGGATGGCAGAGAATGAGGTGGCTAGATGGAGTCACTGAAGCAGTTGGTGTGAGCTTAAGTGGACTCCAGGAGATGGTGGAGGACAGGAAGGCCTGGAGGAATGTTGTCCATGGGGTCGTGATGGGTCAGACACAACTTCGCGACTAACAACAACACCACCAATATCGGCACAATGTGGCTCTTAGCCAGCTCCTGCCAAGCTGTGTCTCCCCTCTGCCCTCCCTGGTGGCACTGGCGCACCTCCCACAAATGCAAAGCCAACTGAAGAAGAGGTGCTGGAGCACAGGTGCTGCAGTGAGTGGGATGCGCCTTGCAGGAAATCTCCTGCGGACTGGTGCAGGTCCATGGACCAGCAGTTGAAAACCACTGCTCTAGAGGTTGCTTATACTGGTATAATTTACATTAGCACTTCTGTCAAAAGGGATATTGGCCATTAGACTTCTTGTTCTTCAGTAAAGAGCCTATTTTCTAACAAACTGACCATTTTGCTCCATGTGTTAACAAATCTAGTCATTTCTGGCTTGATAGCTTGTGATCTTGAATATTTAAACAAATAATGAAGAATGCTGGCTTGTGAGAATTGGAAGTCCTTGGTGTAGGAACCACTTTTCTGAGCAGCATTAGAAACCTCAACAAGTGTTGCAAAAATAGAGAAGGTATGGTGAGTTGTATAAAGCAAATAATAATGTAAAAGATAATAAAGAGGTTGATTGACTGAAACAAGCTTATGTTTCACCAGCTTGGAATCTGAGCATTCACTAGTTCTTTGGCAAATTTGGACCGGGGCACATTTGAGTGTGACAGAACAAATGCTTTGCATGTGGCCATTCTCATGTTTCAGTTACAGGCATATCTACTTAAAAGGATCTTGGATGGTAGGACTGACTAAGATCTTTTCCTGTGGCCACAGAGATTTCCTACTAGTAAGGCTTGACAGTACTAAACTAGATGGACCAATGGTCTCATGCAGTTTAAAGCGGTTTCATATGCTCATTTCCTATATAAGCTCTATTTAAAAAATTCTTTTGCAGGCAGTGGATCATCAAACTCAAGATTACCATCTGTTCCTACAGTTTCTTCTGTGCCTGAGGATTCTGCTTCAAAGATGAGGTATTTAAACAAAACAAAACAAAATCTTGACTTTCTTGAACCAGGATGTTTTCACTTTCCCATATATTAAAGCAATTATGGGATTCACTCTACACTTCTGACTGGATTGTGTGCTTTCAGTTGAGGTCAATAGGGGGTTTTAGATTTCTATCTCCACTACTGTAAATCAAATAGAAATTAAGCACAGTTTAGCCACTGGATTAGGTATGTGTATGGGTTGATTTTATATGTCTGGTTTTTTTTCTCCCTTCCTTGAAGAATTTTAGCTTCTTGAGTTATTCTCACATTTAATCTTGTCCATCTCTTAGCATTACAGAGAGGCTTGAGCATGCTCTGGAAAAAGCTGCCCCTCTTTTGAGGGAGATATTTGTGGACTTTGCGCCTTTTCTTTCTCGTACACTTTTGGGTAGCCACGGGCAAGAGCTACTGATAGAAGGTACAAGTAAGTTTCCCTTTTCAATACTTTCTAAAGTTAAGGATTCTTATATTTAAACAAAAATGATTAAATGTTGGAATTGGAGAATGAGCACTTTTCATGTTAATTTTTAGGCAGAGAAAAATATTTAAGAAATTTTCAGATCAGATGAGAGCACTACTATTAGTTTTCTATTTTCTCAGCTAGCATGCTTACATAAGAAGTCTTTGATGTAGATTATAAAGGAGTTGTACCTACTGCACGCCCTAATGCCAGTTCCAGTTTTTCGGTGCAGGTTTCATGATGTACAAAGAGCTGCAGTAAGAACTGGAGAATGTGGAAAAATCCATGAGCTGTAGGACCACACATTTGGCCAAGATATCCCAGTATTTTCAGCCATTTAAATGCCCTAACCGAACCCATGTCTTCTTGTTCCTATTCTGGATCTGTCCTTTTCAGAGTCAGTCATTATTTTTATCTTTTTCTTAGAATCTGCTGCAGCACAATTATATCAAACATTTATTTTAAATGTTGTAAGTAAATCAGTCTCCTAGGTTCAGTGCCTTCATTTTACAGCCCTTCTAGACAATGGGTCAAACAATGTATCTGATAGGGAAGCTCTTGCCCCCAATCAGTGGATATTTATTTTAAAACTTTTATATTCTGCTTTATATGCTGGTACGGTGATCACTGAAAAGTCTACAATAAAAGAGGAATCCTAAAAACAAAGAGAAACCTAAAAAACAAAATTAATAAAGCTGTAACTGTTTAGTTCAGGAAGAACTCATGCAAACAATGCAATATTGATGTGTGCCTGATCTCCAGAGGCTAGATATTTCACAGAAGTGAAGCTGCTACATTGAATACTGTTTCCTAGGAGGACTCCATCTGGGCCATATGTCCATATATAATTACTAGGGACCTGTGCTCTAATGACCACAGAGACTGGGCAGGTAGGTTAAAGAGCAGAACCTCTCTTGGTTCGTGGTATCAAGTGGTTTAAGGATTGTACACTAGTACAGAAACCTTAAACTTGCTCTGGGTTTAATGTTTAAACTTTACATCTCAGTAAAGGAGCTACATGCTGAAATGGAATAGCCCCTAATAACATCTGAACTGCAGCTCCATCTAAACTGGAGCTATTCTCCAATAGCTCCAACTTCCAGACCAGCCTTAAAGGTAGCCTCACATAGAGTGCAGTGGAGTAATCCAGTCTTGACATCACTAGTACATCTAAGCCCAGAACTGTTAATGAGCCTATCTCCTAGTTCCAGGAACCACTCACCCACATGGCTTCTGTTCTTCAGCATTCAGCTTCAGCTTACTGCTCTCATGTGGCCCATCACTTAGTCTAGGCACTGAGTCATTGCTTGCACAATCTACTAACACTTGATTCAGATGTCACAGGGAGAAAGAGCTGTGTGACACCAGCATATTGATGACACTTGGCATCAGATCCCCAATGACTGCTCAGTGGTTTCACATAGATGATAAATAGCACTGGAGGCAAAATGGCATCCTGCAGAAGAACCACATAGCTTAGTTGCCAAGGAGCTGATGATTAACTCAAGGATTTTTGAGATGGGGCAGAATTAACAAGATCAACATGACCTCATCCCTCCTTTGGTAAAAGTTATCCAGGAGGGTGATCAAAGCTAATTAAGACCCACAACAAGGTTGAAACAGATTGAATGGGTCTATATGATGAGTATCTTTGATGGGTGCCTGCTGCCCCACTACAATCCTCTCAAGTACCTTCTTTAAGAAGGTATTTGTGACTGGGTGGTCAATGCCAAGTTATCACTCTTCATGTAAGAACCAATAAATTGTAGGAGGTGAAGATCAGCTTAGTATTGGGTGACACCAGGTAGCATTAGATTTGATTCACATTTCTGGATATAACCCAGATATTGAATATCCTAGTTTTAACATTGGCAAAGATGAGATGCAGCACCTCTAACAACAGTTCTATTCCACTGATGAATGACATTGTGCTTGAACATTGTCTGAAGCACTGTCATTCTGTCCTGTGCCCCAAATAGAATAGTATTAGCCAAAACCAGTTCCTCTGTTCCTTTTTGACTAATGCACAACTTAGTGCCTTTTAAGAGCAAAACGTTTTCCAGCATCTGATAAGACAGGTTTTGTTCTAATGTTAAACAGGATAAATGTATTCAGCATTGCTTGTCAAGCAGCCTAATGTCTTGGTGATCTAGTGCACTGTCAATTGTAAAGGTTAAAGCAGTGAGCTGTATCAAGTTGAGAACTTAAGCTACTGTGTAGTTTTAATAACAAAGCAGTTGAGAGGAGGTTCACTCCAGTATTTTGCAAAATGAAAGATTAAGAAAAACTGAATGTAGAAGTTCAGGAAACACTGTTTGTAGAGTAGAAAAACATAGGAAAAGGCAGTGCTAGAGAAACAGGAAAGCAGGAAACATGCAGTACCCTTGAACATCTGAGACTGATTTACAGAGAGAATTGCCTTATAAGTGGAGAGGGCAGTTGCTGTTCTTTTGGGCAGAGCATTAGGAGGCAGAAATGATTTGTGAAGTAGACAATTAGATTTCAAAGGTTTGTACCTTTTTCCTACAAGATATTTTTAAATTACATAATCACTGAAACTATTCTTTTTTCCCTTATCAATTTTGATGCTCATTTCCTATATAGATGTCAAGTTTCTATGGTTCTCCTGTTAAATTGCACAATGCCCCTGGAGTCTTCCATAGGGGAACATTGAAAAGCACAAGCTTTTGTAATGTATTTAGAAAAATAGCCATGGGTTTTTCATTTGAAAGGACAACACTAGGAAGCCTGTTTAAAAGGCCTAAGTAGCAAGAGTAGACATCAGTGTTGGATAAAGATGTATTATACTTTGATGCACATAGCAGTGTCTATTTGAAACTGGATTACTAAACCATATTTCCTTATTTGACTCTGGTAGAATACCAGATAGAAACATTCTTAAGAATTTGGTAGCAATCAGCTTATAAACAGTGATAATTTTTCTGTGTATTATGTGCTTCAAGCCATTTCACAGAACGATTTCTTGGTAATGTGGGGCAAATTCTGTGACTACCAAATTCATTTCAGATATTCTTTCTAACATGAACTATTACATGTTTACATCACCTTCCAAAATGGTTTGATGAGAAAGTTTTTATTCTAATTAGACAGAAGAAGAGATAAGGAGATTATGTTGTGTAGCGTTGTGCACGGGCCATTTCTGAACTTGGTTTGGATTCGAGTAGGGCAACACTGTTGTGACTGTTGTTTAGGCACAAGTAAAAGTCCCCCTAAGTAAAAGAAGGAAATGGTCTTCCTTGGGATTCAGTTCTTCTGCCAATATATTTTTTCTATTCAACTAAGAATTTAATGTTGCTAGTTTAGTAAGCTTTTATAGTTTTATTGATCTTAAACAGAAGCAACAAAACACTTCCCAGTATATTGAAGTACAGGTTAGTCAAAAAGCCTCCACCATCTTTGTCCATTATAACATCTTTTCATGTTATACCATGGAATTAACGTGAAGTGTGAATTGCTAGTAATAGCCAAATTAGTTTATAAACTGATCACAAATGTATAGGTTACTCCCTGCACTCCCCCGCCCCTGTAAGGTTTAGGTGAGGGTCAAGGGTCAAAGTACTAATAAGAGTGTTTGGGATGTCTGCTGCCATGAAACAAAATGGAAACTTGATTGATAGCTGGAGGGCTGAAGGGAGAGAGCTCAATGGAGAAAGCAAAGGTCATAGAGCCATTTCCCTTCTCTGCATATATAATGATCAATCCATTCCAAGGTGAAGAAATGTAAGTACTATAAATCAATATACCATATGCTATGTATGCTTTTATTAACTTGAAACACAAATATTTGTGTAATGTCAGTTAAGTAGCACAAGGGATCATTTTATATCAAAATTACTCATGGCAGCAGTAAAAACTGGTGCCTGCTTTAAGCACTTTTTATATGGATACATTAGCATTTGGTTGCTAACGCAAAATGAATTGATAAGGTTCTTGTTTTGTTAATTTAAATCATACTGCCAATACAGAGATAATAAGCAATAGAATTTCAGATAGAATTTTCAGTAGGTACTAAACATGTGAGACATAATAAGTCTTAAGTGGATCACTAAATTCCATTTTCTCTTTTTATTTTAGGTCTTGTATGCATGAAATCTAGTAGTTCGGTTGTGGAGTTGGTCATGCTACTTTGTTCTCAGGTAGGTTACCGTTAACTTGAGAGTGAGCTGATACTGTTAAACCAAAATCCTTTATAACTAGAGTCTATTGCAATTATGCATCAGAGTAGTGGTCTATGACCCTTTTGAATCTTCCTTTAACCTCAACCTGTACCATGGGATGACCTCCTCCTCCTCCTTTGCTGCTTTCTGTGTCTGCTCCTTTCTTTTCTCTCTCTTTCCTCTTGCCTTTTCTAGTAAAAGGAAATCAACTGATCATGAAACATACTTGCTTAGGCGACAACATGCTCTACTTGAGCCATGCTGGTTGGATATGACTGGAATTGTAGTCCAGCACATCTGGAAGAAGCCACAGTGGGGAATGATGCTTTGCAATAGGGGTAGGCAACTTGTGGTCCTCTGGATAATTTGGTCTACATCCCCTATCAGTTCTAGTCCATATTAGCAGTGTGAATGTGGAAGTTGAGAGCCACAAATTGCTCATTCCTACTTTATAGGGACTGCATTATTACATCTGATCAGATAAGAGAATGTATTGAATTCTTGGTTTTTTACTTTTATTATATTGTAATAATAATGGGATATATACATTTTATTAACTTTACATTTAGCAAATAATCAAATACAATTTTTGAATGTATGTAGTATTACACCTGCAATGCCCATTCTGATGTAAACAGACTTGTTTTGTGAGCCTCCCCGAGGCTTTGTTGCGATGGGGGTGGCATAGAAATGTTTTAAATAAATAAATAAATAAATTGAACATACAAACAGAATACTAATTAAATAAAATTTTAGATAGAATTTTCAGTGAGTACCACAGGGTTCTAAACATGTAACTAGCGAAGTACACAACATTTCATTCTAATTGTCCTGTGTATTTGAAGAAAAAGTCACAATTTTCAACGATTTGAATTGTTTTCTGATTTGTGAAACACAAAATATCTGCTGTTTTGAAAAGCAAATTTCATTTTGATTAACAGAAAATCTAATCTGAAAAATTAGAGTTGTCAACAAATAGAATACAATAGATCAAATAACTGCACTTTACTCACCTCCTATTTTTCTCCATTGTAATTACATAGGAGGTCTCTATTGAGCTTTTCGTTTTGGTCTTTTAAAAATGATACCTTCCTGGTAGTAAATTCCCCTACTTAAAACTTTAAAATAGCCTTTTTTAATGGGAAGGTTATTGGTCTAGAGGTCAAGGGTTTTGACCCATTTCAAAACCTTTGACCTTCATTTAAAGCCCTTATGGTTTACTTGCCTGACGAATAAGGATAATGCAAAATTAATGTTTTTTTACATCGATTTATTCGTTTTAGTGCCTATATTGCCAAATGTATTTAGACTGTGCTGATAGACATTTCATGAATACAAATGAAAGAATCATAGAAGGTGTGAAAAATCAATAACCTGCATTGACAATAAAGTGCAATAAAAACAATTACTTCTGGAGATTACACCTAATGGATTTCTACAATGAACTACTGAAGAGCAGTTATACTTCTAGTGGGCTTATTATTCAGTGATGTGGTCAGAACCATGTTGACACTATTTCTGTTTCTTCAAGAAACACATACAAGCTTGTTAGGGTCTACTTAATATAAACAAATAAATCTTGATTTCTAGGCTAGGTATAACTCTTGCTTTCCAAGACAACATTTTTTAATATTTGTATCATCTAAGGAAATGGTACTTTAAAATTATTCAACTTGCCTTTTGAACTTGTTCAATATGTAAAAACTGAGTTAAAATGGTGGCTGTTAGCTTAAACTTTGTAATCTACTTCAGTAGCATACCTTTTACTGTGGTTTTAAAAAGGAAGGAAATTATAGGTTGGGAATTGCTTGTGTCAGGACTCTCCACATTGGACATTGTAGGTGCTGATGTAATCTAAAACAGAATAAATGACATGCTCTAATGTGCCTATTTGTCATATATGTCACATTTCTGCTTAATGGTAATCTAATCAAATGTAGAATATGGCAGTGGGTTATTTGAGATGGTAGCAATGAAATACATTGTTCTCTAAGAAATAGTTGAAATTAACTAATCTAGTGTATAGATATGATAACATCAGTTAATACAAAGAGTAGCTGTAATATTTTTCAGGCTGTGCAATAGAGGTGTTAGAAATGCTGCAGAAATTAGCTCCAGATGTATACAGATTTGATCTGGTGTGATAATTACATTTTTCACTCTGAATTTTCCTAATTCAAAGAGGTCAGTATGGCAATCACAGAAGTGATTTATTTTCTTAAGAGGTAAACTGTCTGTTGCTACATGAAAGCTTGAGAGATACGAAATTGAATTTCACCTCGACATTTTACAGATACTGGGAGGAGATGGGGTTGAGTTTGATTGATTTTTTTCTTTTTGTGGGACCAGGATAGGGTGGGAAGTGAAGTGACCCTCTTGCTAAAATTTTAATTAATTTTTAAAGAAGAGATGGTGTGCCAAAGATCGAAAGATCAGGTCAGAAAACTAGTTTTTAATCACATAAATAATACAGTACACTTACAAGTAAACATCTGTGGGATGATTTAAAACTTTACAAATTTGTCATACATGAATTTGAATTATAGTACTTGTCTGATTAATTCCTTTTGTGATACATATCTGATCATTATGATTATTCTCTTAATTTTTATTAATAAATGTTAGCTTTATTTCACTGTTAAGTTTTGCCTAGCGTATACATTTCCAAACGCTCATGGTACATGCCACTTGATGAAAACAAAGCAAAGTCTTTTTTCTGAAGTTCCCAACAGCCTGTATTGGAGTACCGCAAATATCCATTTAGTTCCAAGTATTTTGCTGCCACCTACATGTTCATTGCAGTTCCTAGTGCCTGATTTTTTTTTTCTTCTTGGTACGTGCAAAATGTCATGTTGCTTAAGACAGTACTGCTTACTCTGCCTAACAACCCAGCTGGATGTACAAAACTATCTAAACATCCTTAAGCAGTTTTTAATCAATACTAAATTCTAAGACTAAATGCTTACCTTCCTATCAATATAAAGCAATTCTGCATTTAATATTAACGAAAAGTGTTCTTGCTTATTTGACATTAATATCATTTTTGAACAAATCAGCGTTGCATTCAAGGCCACTTTATGAAAGCATTGTGTTGCTCATCCTAATTCAGTCTGACATACATTCCAATAACACTACCTCCCCTCCAGAGTTTAAAGCTAAATTTATGGCTGAGCATTGTGAAGTGCATCATTTAAAAATGGTTTCAACCCAAAACATCTAATAAATAAATAATGTGTATGGCTACTCAGTAGTAGACTTTCAAGACTAGAAATCATTCCATTGGATACTCAACAGTCCACTATCGTAGAGGGCTGTCAGATAAATCTTATAGTAGCTGCATTTATGTCCTGTAAATCACATGTTATTGTCTGAGCCTTCTGCCAGGTCATCTATTCTTTTCCCATTTATCAGAAATGCATACAGTACATTGAAACGAGAAGCACCATCTAGTCTGGCCCAGCTTCCTGTTCAACTAATTAAACGAGCCAAAACAATGAAATTTCAGGTTGATGTTTGTTTTGGATGAATCATGTCCTGAATATATGTATAGTCATTTATGTGCTTTGACATCCTTCTCAAGGCATGGTCAAACCTTGCTGGAAGAAACAAAACAAAAACCTAGTGAATTTTGTAGAATTGCATGTACAGATTAAAGTGTGCATTACACAACTGACCTTTCCCTTGTGTACAATTATTTATTTATCAGATCTATTAACCAAGCTATTTTCTTGAATTTATTGCACAGAGGCTTATTTAAATGCAGTATTTTGAAATACTGTCTGCACTAAAATGATTATCTTGAGTGTTTCATATGCATTTAAAACCTTTCTAAGTAGAAAATCAAATGGAAGGTACAAGGCTGACAGAAAGGGCTGTGAGATCATTTGTGTCAGTACAACCTACCTGTTCACCAACATTAAAATGGCTGTTTTCAGGATTCTATAAAATAATGAACAGAATTCCTTGGAATATGAGTTTCTAATTCCTATGTTGCCCAGGGATCTAAGAAACAAACGAACATGTATATGCACACATGCATGTGCAAACTCACAGATTTTTATATAATGTCACATCATTTAACTTCAGATTATCTGATTTGGAATAAACACCATTCCCTGAAGACCATAAAAACATAAAATTCCAGTTCTATTAGAAAGCACAAATTTAAAAACTGCCATTTTCTTCCATGCTTTTGCCCTAGCAGTGATTGAAATGAAAGAATATCTATTGAATATCTATTGAATATTGAATATCTATTGAATTTCTATTGAAATGAAAGAAGATCTGGGGTCGGCAAACTTTTAACACTCAAAGAGCCATTTGGACCCATTTCCCACAGAAAAGAAAACACCGGGAGCTGCAAAACCCTTTTGACATCTAAAATGAAGATAACACTGCATATATTGTTTTTTACCTTTATGCTATGTATAAAAAAACTATAGTGTGTTGCATTTATGAAATCAATGAACTGCTACAGAGAAAGCAAAATTTTATTTCTGCATGCAACAAAAACATTTTGAACTCCGAAAAAAAAAAGACACTGGGTTGAAGGTTACTTTCAAATAAAATACTCAATGTCTATCTGAGTCCTCCTCATATTTATGAAATAAAAAGCTGAACTTATATTATCCACTAGCAGCAAACCAAACATGCCACCTGCAGCAAACCAAAAATGCCATCTGCTTCTGTGTGCCCTCATCCTTTTATCATGTGGTGAAATATAGAACAAACATCCCTCTCCCAATGTAATAATGTTGCTGGAATTTTTATAGGAATCTTATAAAACAAAGAAGTAGATCTATATCTTCATTATGATTTAGCTGCAGCTCTTGTTCACTCACTAAATACTGTTATTTTTAATCTTACATTATAAACTAGTAGGACTCCTTTCATATATTTTGAATAGGAGAACAGCTTCCTGCAGAGTCAAAGTCAGTGCTAAAGGGCTGCACGCATAAAACAGCAAACCCCATAAGTTC